TTTTGGGAAGTAGATCTTGCAAGAAGCAGTGAGGAGCTTTTGGTATTCAGAATCCACCAGCCCTGAGCTCTTCCGAATGTATGTGGAGAGCCTTAAAGCTTGGCCTATACAATGACTACCATTTTTACAAAAAAACACATTCTTTGAACCAAGACCGCTTCTGCTTCCTTCCTTCCTTCTCTTCCTTCCATAAACTGACAAGAATGCACTTCTACCCCATGGCCTCCAACCCTCAAAAGCTTTCGGGATTCGGGCCGCACTCCGCACACATTCACGGGAATTCACTCCTTCCCAGCGGATTTCAGTCGAACTTTCCTGGCGCATGACTTCTTTCCAACGCCAAATTCCGCGCTGAAAAGGGGGGAGTGGGAGATTTGCACATTTGCTTGTGCTTCTGTGCTTCTTTGCATCTTCTTTTCAATTTGGCTTTCACAAAGCTTTTTGTACCGCATAGAGAATCCCCCTTCGTGAGCATCTATGATCTTGGTTCGTCTGTTTTCGCTTATCTAAGCTCCTCGGACATTTCTTCAGTTTCTCAAAGGTGAATGGCCAGGGATTTGCCACGAACCGGGTTCTATTTCCTCAAGCCAGAGTTGCTATGTCGCTGACTTAAGTGTGCCCACTGGACTTTCAAAGCATTTCTGGGAATGGTGACCAACGTGATCATTTCCACCAGGTTCGCACCTTCATGGGCAAAAACCAAAGAGTCCTGGAACATAAAGACATTCCAAAAACATTTCGGGTCCAAACAACAAAGCAGGACAAGGAGGCTGGAACACAAATTTCTCACCCAAAATGCACCTCTCGCCCTCTCGCACTTCTCAGACTTCCCCGGGTTTTATTCGCCTGTAGCCCACGTCGAAAACGCTTTTCCGATCTTCGCCTGAGGTCGCAGCTTGCTTGGTGGGAACTATTGGATTACAGAAGCTAAATGGCGAATTCATCGGGGCAGTCTGAGGAATCCTTCATTCGGTGTTCTGTATTTTTTCTGTTCTTGTGGAGGATGCGCAAGCGACTCCGTCATGCATGCAACCTGTCCCTTGCACTTTGAAGAAGAAAGTACTCTCTTGCTACTCTTTGCTACTCTTGCCGTGTTTGTTTGATGAGGACTGCGCCTTCGGGTGGGCTTCTCTCACGGAATTGCTTGACAAGTCCCTGGAATGAATGGAAACATGGGTCAGAAGATCTGATAAGGCGCCCAAACATTATATATTTTTTCGGCCGAGGCTTCCGCTCATTGACGGTTTCCATTTTCCTATCCCACCAAAGTTGTGGCTTGGCCAAGAAAGGTGAGAGAGATGCTTTCTTCACCCGAAAAGACTTCGGCATCTCGATAGAAACTCTTTAGTGTTGGCATGGGAACAGCTATGTTTCCTCCAAAAGTCTAGGAATCGAATCATCAGAGAGAGTGCTTCTTCAAACAAGCCCTCCCCCCTCAAGCGGGGGAGGAGCTTTCTTGAAGAAGCGTGAGCTATCCAGAAGCATCCTACTTAATAGCTACTTCAGCTAGCTCTTCCTCTATCCGCGGCCTAACCGTGCTAAAAAAGAGAATCCTCCCATCCCAAATCGTCTCACGCACCTGGATGGAGATAAGGATCTCTGGAAGCTCTCGGCTTCAGCTTCGGCCTCGCCAAGCTTCGAAACCGAAAAAAACACCAGCGAAACATGCATTTTGGGTGCCAGAATGAACCATCAGTAGGGTTGCCAAGTGGTGAGATCAAATTCAGCACCACCCATCTTTTGAGCACAAACACAACAAAGACTGGGAACCAAGAAGTTTTAACGCTGCAAGGCCTAGACTGTAGTCACTGTTGCCATACCAACTCTTCTCATCAATCTGTATCAATCTCTCATCTTTTAGGTTTTCAAACATAGAATAGAGAGAGAGAGAGAATCTAAAACATATCATAATGAATTTCTTATTGTTTTTGTCACCAATTAGTTCCGGTGTTTGATTTCGGCCGGAAAATCGCCTCTGCGGGCCGCTCCACTTGGGCGGTGGCTCGAAGCAAAGCTTCCTGGGCCTGTCACTTTTTGTGGACACAGAAATTGATTCCGAGAAGAAACACGTTGTGTTTATAGCCTCATTATTCAATCGCTACTAGGAGCAAAGGGCATCGCTACTAGGAGCAAGGACGCTACTAGGAGGCCATCACTAGTAGTTCTATGGCAATTTCTTCGTTTGTTCTTTAGACCTTTGGACCCTTTGCTCCTTGATGAATGGAGTGGTGAAGGAGCAGGACTCAATGGATCCTCTGGAAGGGTCTGGTACCGCCAACCGGATCCCGAATGCACGCTAGAACAATGAAACTGCCTCCAGCATTAGTCAAGTGTATGTAGGGCAAACAAACATCAATTCTGATGGCTCTTTGGATCCAAGCAACAGAATGAAGAACGACCGACAACGTGCATTCGTCACCACCCTCACTACTCCTTGCAAGAACGCTACAAGAACGGACACCGGCCAACACAAAATGGTCGGCCTCTTCGCCGGGGACTCCGGGCGAGGAACCACCTGCAAGCTGTGGATGTTTCATGCGCAACAGTTTCTACCAAGCGAACACATGAAAGGTTTAAAAAAGGAGAGAAAAATAAAAGGGCGATGGCCTCCAACCGACTAGCGATGGTCTCCAACTACTCTTTTGTTAGTAACAAGAACTCCTTCAGGGGCGTCCAAGATAGTTCTACTTCATACACACAGGATCTCTGCAAGCAGCTTGGGGGTCTTCTTTGGATCCTGAAAGTGCAAAGACCCCAAACCAAATTCTCGCTGATTGGCTTTTGAAGCCATAGCCTCAAACGACGCCCTAGCTGGAGTTGATGTAACCCTCGCTTTAGCCTGCCGTGACCAACACCTTTCACCATCTGCGCAAAAGTGTGCCTTCACCCGAACTTCACCCAGGGATGCCAAAGGTACATGAAGGCATCTTGCCCAGAAGCCCTGATGGGGCGCTGTTCGGGGTCTCAATTAGACCACACCGTGTGGCCTGCACCGACTGCGCCAGTGGCAGCCGCAAGGCTCTCCGCCAGGAACACAAAGGCAGCATCCTGTGAGATGCCAAGGCCAGGAGACCGTGGTAGCGTGCTTGCTCCTAGTAGTGATTCCCTTTGCTCCTAGTAGCGAGCGGTTTCACTTTCAAACACTTCCAACAAATTGCTTTCAGCACTTGAGGATTGGGACTATGCGTAACTATAATAGTATGCTTGTTGTGTGCTCTGTGATCTGGATACGGAGGGTCTATGTGGTCATTCTCAAGACCTTTCAAGGTCAAATGCACAAAATAATTACACGACAATCTGATCCTTAGGTTGACCTCCGATCGCTCTTAGGTTGGAGGCCATCGCACTTTGATTTTTGCATTTAAAAATTCCGTTTCAGCTGGCTCCTCGCACATCTTTCATACCCGTTCGCCTCACCGGTCGGGCAGCCTCTTTGGGCTTCTTTGGCGCTTCTTTCGGAGCTGCACGTTCGCCATAGGCCTTCCATATTTCAAAAAACACACAAAAAACGGAGTTTTCTTCATGGTTTCCATCGGTTTACACCGCAGAGATGCTGGGATTTGCCGTGTAACAGAAACTTGGTAACGGAAAAAAGGAGCGCCCTAAGGGCACCGCCCTAAGGGCACTGCCCTTGGCCATAGAAAGCTTTATTGTTACTACAGATGAAACGATTTTCAAGGATGCTAGAAAGGCAGAAACTTCTATTGCTTTCTTCACTTGCTACCCAAAGACCAAAAGGGGTTTAGGTCTTGACCTTGACGTCCCCGTGCTGCTACTCATTAAAATCCTTTATAACCTTCTAGCGATGGCCTCCAACCTGAGAATGCTTCATAATTGCAAACATTCTTCTATCTTTGGCTGTTTGAGAACCCGCACCTGCAAAATTGCATCAGCCTTCTGAGACACTTTCCCTGGCAGCTTCAGCTCCTGGCAAGGGGCAAAGAAAACAGCTATAGACGGACAGCGTGTAGCAGCGGAGCAACACGAACATCTGACTAGATCACGTCTTGTCAGCCAGGATTGATACCCGATACCCTGTTCTGAGGATTGACCCTGAACCAGTCAAACAAGAAAACGCTTGTTTTGTGGAGGCCATCGCTAGTAGGTTGGAGGCCATTGCTGTTTGTTCTTAAAACTATCGTTTTGTTTTCTCGAAATTTCAGCCAACGAGTCAACGGCGAGGTGAGCGACACCGCCTTCCGGTGTCTCATCTAGTTTGGACCGAAGCCCAGGAGTTGGAAACGCACTTGTGCATGTAGAGGATGTCAAAATTTACGATTTTTCCTTAGACTGTTACCTTTTTTGAACACCTTTCAGATTCCTTTCAGTACCTTTTTCTTCTCTTTATTGTATGTTTCTCATGTTTCTTTTTCTTTGTGCATTCTGCTTCTCTTTTCACAATGTCTGATTTTTTCCAGCATGCTCTCTTTGCAAGACTATCCATACGGCTGGAGCCAAGCAGTGGACACTCGCCAAATCCATCGGACCCTTGATCGCAAACTGGAGGAAACAAACAAGGAAGGTCTTTTTAGGAGAAAACAAACCAAGGTCTTCTTGGTGGTGGTGTACGGACGACTTTCGGCAGGGGTGGAGCCGGTGGAACAAAAACATTCGAAAAGGCAGAAGCAACTTAGATGCTTGTTTGTAACAAGTAGCAAACCGCAAACCTAAGGTCTTCATAGCAACGATCTTCTTTGCAGCAGCCCCGAGCTCCGTGCATTTGGTTAAAACACACCTACACATTTTCCATGTTACTCTCAACAAATTGATGACTAATTGGACGTTTCATCATCGCCAACAGCTGTTAAATCTGCTTTTCTTTGTGAACCTGAGCTTGGATCCATCAAAGCCAGATCAAGCGGAACATTTGGTGAATGGCCATCGCTCCAACTGCTAGGGATGGCCTCCAACTTACTTGCGATGGCCTCCAACCTAATAACCATGGCCATCCTAATCTCACGGAACGAAGGCCTCTTCATCCGATCCCTCTGAGTGCCGGCTGCTTCGTCGCAAACATCGCCACTCTTCGGCGACCTGGCGAAGGCCGGGGGATGCGAAGTTTGCATCACGTGTAGGGACGACCAAAATTAGCGTGCTGGACCTGGCAAAAAGGTGGTCTTTAGTCACCCTTCATCCTTGGTTATTAATGAAACAAGTTTCAGTAGAAGTACAAACGTTTTCAGAAAATGTCAAGAAACCTCCTCACCGCGCGGCCGACCTGGCCGTGTTTGTGGCAGCACCGCCATCGCGGCAATCATCCTGAGAAAGGCTGCGTGGGGCAAATCACCCATGGGATTTATGGGATTGACGAATGTGCGTAGCCTTGGCTTCTGCTGTGCAAGCAAATGTTTTTGCATGGGGGCCATTGCTACTAGGTTGGAGGCCACCGCAATTAGGTTTGAGGCCCTCGCTGCTAGTGTGGAGGCTATCGCATGTAGGAAGTGGAGGTGGCAGGCCCTCTGGATTCGCGCATTGCCAAATACGTCAGAACTTTGAACCTTTTCGCGCTCTAGACATGAGGCTGGTGCCCTCGGCAAGTAACGTGTTTTACACTGCGTTTTCTTAGTGTTCCCTAGTGTGTCAAGTCAGGAAGGAGTATTGGGGACAACGTCGCTCAGACCTTGTGGATGGCAGCAACATGGGTCGCTGAAGCACAATGGAATTCCGATTACCGTTTGAAAGCCATGAAAGTGGGGTCGCCCGAAACTGATGAGTTGGACGTCCTGGCCCCCCACCTCAACTGCACAACGCGCATTTTCTTTAGCGCAGTTTGCAGGCAGCATCTAGCTGCTTAAGCATCTCATCAGGTGTGAGATCTGTCGTAACCTTCAGGTTTCGACGCCACAAAGCAGTCGGAGATTCTGCCTGAACCCTTTTGATCAAGCATGCGACCAAAAATGAACTTATCGAACGTGATTACCCCCACCCCACATGCGGATAGCGTAGCTCCACATCGTGCCGGAGAATTAATGAAGCCTCGCATAAAAGAACGTGCCAGTTGCCAGTATTGGCCGTCTTTGCGGTGGCGTTGCAGGCGCTGAAGTAGAGGGCCAAGAAGGATTGTGAGAGACTAGCTTCCTCAAGTCAAGTTAGACAAAGAGTGTTGTGTCGCACACACACACACAACATCGTGCACTGCATCCAAATCTATGACCAATGCAGCCCACCAACGTTCCAACCCCTGCGCGCAGAACCAAGATGCATGCGACGCCCTCCATGCACATATTGGGATCCATCGCCGTCCCATGAACACACATGTTGACATGCTCTTGTTCAACATAGTATGTTCAAATGCTTGAGACTAAAGCTGAAAGATTAAAAAATACCATCTTGCTGGATGTTTGCTTCTATTGTGTCTCTGTACAATATACCAATCAGCATCAAACACGTGCCGGGTAAAGGACGACGCCGGCATGAAACGGGAAGAATTCTTGGAAACATAACCATGTCGTGTCATTGCTCACAGGCCCTTGAAGACATTTTAGGCAATTGTCAAGAATGCCCTTAAGTTGCCTTAATTCTGGAGTGCTTTATCCCTACTGCTGCAAACAAGAGCACTTTCTTGACTACTCTTTGCTGCTAGCTCTTGGAAAGGTTGCTGTCTTGAAAAGTGGCCTTTGCTAGCCCCTGCTACCAACACGGATGCTTTCTTAACTGCCCCTCGGCACTGAAAGGACCTGGGCTGAATCTTGCACAAAAATGCTTCCAACGTCCTCAGTCCTGAGTCAGTTCTGTGCCCCTTTACTTTTCTGGGCGGCCGCACGCTGCTGTCGAGCCGTATTTGGCAAAGTTTGCGTGGCTTGTGGAGCTGCTCGGACGCCAAGGCTTCCTTTGGGTGATCAAAGCGAGAGCGTGAAGCAAGCTCAAAGAAAATGCTCTTCTTGGCAATGACAAAAGGAAAGAAACAAAGAGGTCTAAGAGAAGAAAGGAAGGAACAAAAACAAAGAAAAGCGGAAGGGTTCCTAAAGATTGAGTTTGCAAAACATCTAGGATTCTGAAAGAAGCAAATCCATCGTGCAAAGGGTTCGCTATCAGGTGGAGGGAGCTTCCTCGAAGAAGCCTGAGCTCTAACCTGCATCTAGCAGCCTAGTATCTGCATCTTTCTTCTGGCCTTACTACTAGTAGCAATGTTCGCTACTAGAAATAAGAATTCAATAGAATTATTCCTCGAATTGTTGGGAAGGACTCTTTTTCGATATCGGCTTCTAGTGACGTGGTTCGTCCCTTTCGGGTGGGCCGTGAAGGGGGGCGAGGAAGGAGGGGAAGGCCGGTAGTGGCTTCTGCTGAGAGCTTCTAACTAAGAGCGTGTTTTATCCTTTTCTTTTTGTAGCTCAAGTTGCCCTCACCCTTACTTAATTGCGTAGGCGCATACTTAATTAAGCAAGGGCTCAACAAACTACTCGGTAACCTGCTACTATCTCGGACGCAGAATAGCTTGCGAGGAGCATTCCAGGGCCTTGCAGTAGCAGCAAGCAAGGGTTCGGTTCTAAACCCAAGGAAACAAAATCAATACTAGGAACAAGGACGCTACTAGGGGCTCCTGGCCGTGCTATCAGGAGCATCCTTGCTACTAGATCTGGCGCTCGAACTCGAATAGTTTCACCACGTTTGCGGGTTTTGATGTTCTTCCTTCTTCACGGCCTCGAACTCGTGCTTGGCGTGTTGAGGCTTGGCCTTGATCTTCTGGAAGACAACAGGGCAGAAAGAAATACATTTGCTAACCAACCTAATAGTCTCCAACCTACTAGCGATGGTCTCCAACCTAGTAGCTTCTAGTTACTAAAAAGCTTCAAAGACATACTCAAAGCTTTATTGCTACTAGTAGCGATGGCCTCCAACGGCAAGGCTCGAGTTTCGGAAGTGGGAGCACTCAGCTTCCGCTTCCGCCCTTTGTTACCGAAAGAAGTCCAGACCACCCGAATGCTTCGCCTTCTTAGTTTCAGACGGCACAGCCACAAAGCAAGGTGCAGCGAGTTTATCCACCCCAGTTCCCATGGCTCAGAAGCAAACCACCCAAAAGCGTGGTTCAAAGCAAAACAGCATTAGTAGAGTCCTTGCTCCTAGTAGCGCTCTTGTTCCTAGTAGTAAGGCCAGGAGCCCCTAATAGCTTCTTGTTACTAGTAGCGATGCCAGGACCCCCCGATGATATTTAATGAATAACGCATGAAACAACACCCATGGTTCAAAGCCTGCAATGTAGCTCACTGGACTCTATCCGTGTGAGTAGCTGCCTCATCACTCTGTCTTCAAATTCTGCCCTAAAGCCCAGCTGCAAAGGCGGCGGATATATGTTGAACATCCCTTGTCTGTACAGACTTACTACACTGACGGATAGATAAGACAAGAAAAGAACAGGAAAGCAGAACGAACAAAGAGATAAGAAAAAACAAGCACCTTTCCTCACCTTTTTGAATTCTTTTCTTTTTCTTTCATACGCTGAGGGATAGATGGGCCTGAACATGACATGTTAAGTTCGTTCGCCCTCGCCTTGTCCACGTCAGTACCCTTTACTACTAGTACACTGTTGCTCCTTTTGCGTTATCTATTTTGCTTTCTTTGTTCTTAGACCGTTCCCTTTCTTGCTTCTCTTGAACTCCATCATTCCAAACCTGATGGCTAGCGGAGCTATCCAAGAAACCAAGGAGCTTTGGGACGCGTCATGTCACGAAAAATGCCTCAAGAAATGACACAGGGTTTCTATCGACTGCTTCAATCCTATCGGTGACACTCAAAAAAGGAACACTTCCCGGCAACTTTCAATCACCTAGTCTCGCGAGACTTCTCATCATCAACGCCCAAAATGGTCAGGTGCTGAACGTGAAAACACACAATACTCCTAACTACGTGCAAGAAAACATGCTTTTGTTCTTGTTTTCTTTTTGCAAGTTCATTCTTATCTCTGTTCATTGCTTCTTCTTTCTCTTGCTTTCTTATCCAAATACTCCTCCTTTTTTCCTCTTTGTTCCCCTCTGCTCTTCTGCCTCTTCTTCTCCATTCTTCCTCTTCCTCTTCCTCTTCTCAAGGAGACCTTCCTTAGCAAGAGGCAGTAAAAAACAAATCTTCCTGAAAATCTAGGAAACAAATCATAAGTGCGAACGCTTCTTCAAGGAAGCTCCCCCCGAGCTGTCTAGGCCCAAAGCCTTTCAGCTGACGCCCACTCGCGAGGGCCGTGGCTTCGCTGCTCGCTCCGCAGCGAGGGTGAAGCGTCCACAGACTGGACACACACTAGTGTCCGGATCGCCATGGAGTCGATGGAACAAAGAGGACGTCACGAGAAATCGGCATGTGCTATGATGGATTGGGCAACAATGGGCATGCCTGCAACTCTTGCTGCTTCGGTTCAAGGGGCTCTGCACGCCATTGTCACAACAAGCCGATCTCGTGGTGCTTCGGATGAGTGGGTTTTGTTTGGGGAAGTTACCAATGTGCTTGATGGATCTCCTCTTCAAGTTCAGGTACGTCACACTAACGTGATGTTTAAAGACCATGAGGTTGTTGATGATCCATGGGCACAATCTATGCGGGTTTGCCCTGTGATGCATTGTGGCGTTGACCTCACACCAAGCGTTAGAGTTGGCATTCTCACCAAGCCTTCTGACCGCTGTGATGTTGGCAAGATTGTTGCTGATGCTGCATTGCCGATCTGGAATATCTCCACCTTTGACAAGCATCTCCCATGGCATGTTACGCATCTGTTTTCAGGTGCTTATGAAGATTGGTTGAGAGCTAGAAGCAAGCCAGGGGCAATCCTTTGCCTCGCATGTCTCTGTGGATTGGTCTTGAGATGTGATGAAAACCTGGAGCTACAGCCACAGGGCTCAGGTGATTTCACCACCTATCCTGGCTACCTTTCGGGCTCAAGAGATTTGCATTAGCATGCTTGCGGATGTGGCGGACAAGACATTCCCCAATTTTCGCAGGTTCCTCATGTTTTGCAATACCTTGCAATGGAGGTTGGGTGACAGACTTGGCGGTTCTGAGTTTGAGCTCGCAGTCTATGCCTTTGTGCAAGGATGGCGATTCCAACTGCCTGATAGTATGCTCAGTACGGGCTTCCACTTGCAACATTCTTGCCAGCCTGTCTTGCTGCAAACAGAAGCAGTTGGTCGTGGTCCCCTTGTGGTTGGACGAATGAAACCTGCGCAACGGCAAGACTTACCCAAAGGGTGCGATTTTAGGTGCAGAAGCTTTTCTGGCCAACATGACACTTGAAACGCTGTGTCGGGCTTTTGAAAAAGGGGCAAAAGAAACTCCGATGTCATGGAACATGCCTTTTGACAACTTGTTGTAGCGATTGTGGTCATTTGACCGTCAACGCGGAATGCTTGACGGTTGCCCTGGACCTTGTCGTGCCGGCTTGAGAGTAGAAAAGGAAGCTCCCCCCGCCACCCTAAGCTATCCTGAGTCCGAGCTAGGAGCAAACTTCTCATAGCGAACTGGTCGCCCTTACGTACTTAAGTAGGCGCCTACTTAATCAAGCAAGGAGGTAGGGCCAAGCGGGCCAAAGAAAAAGAATCGTTTAATTCTTTTCCGCTTCTCTCTTTCAGTCCTTGAGACCTTTCACTTTGCATTCTCTTCCTTTCTGCTTCCTTTTGGGTTCTTGGCAGTCTACGACTTGGACTGAGTGAAAGCACAACCGTAGACCGAGCTCTTGGACTCCTTCCGAACGCCGAAAGCACATGTTTTGACTCTTGCGCCAATGTCCAGAAGGTCCAGCAGCTCCGATTCGAGAGTGGCAAATCCCTGTTGTTCACATTCCTCGGAAAAAGCGGCTCTGTCCCTCGAAGAACCAAGGTTTGAAGCTGCTGTTTCTTCATTTTGTGTTTCTTTCACCTTTCTTTCACATTTTGTGGTTGGAGGCCAAAAAGAGTGAAAAGCTAAGGCAAGGTGTAACGAACGGAACAAAGGCTGTGCCAGGGGCAAATGCAGGGCTTGTCCAGCCTTCCGGAGCGGTGACCAAGATGGGCACCATCTTTGTTCGTTTTTTTGGGGGAGGCAGAACGTGAAGAGCGAGGTAGTAGCTAGGTAGCTAGTAGGGAGAGGCAGCTAGTACTTAGGACGCAGGATAGCTCACGCTCGCACCCTAGATTGTCAGGAAAACTTCACCTGGCCATCGCCAGTAGATTGGAGGCCATCGCTACTAGGTTGGAGGCCATCTCTATTAGGTTTTGCCGTTCTCGTCTTTGAAGACCAAGTTGCTGCGAGCACTGATGCCCAAGCATCTGAGTCACATCGCACACCTCACAATTTGTGCTGGAGCAACACGGTATTCTACGAGCAACAAATCCAACGGCCGATCATAGTGCGCATTAGGAAGGCGAATGTTCCTAATAGCTTCTTGTTCCTAGTAGTATGCCCACGAGCCCCTAGTAGCGTCCTTGCTCCTAGTAGCGATGCCCTTTGCTCCTAGTAGCGTCCTTACGTCCAAAACAACGCAGTGTTTGAACAGAACTTCACCTTTAGCAAGTGGAAATAGACATGCATTCTTTTAGGTCCTTTTAGGCCCAAATGACAAATGCGTTCTCTTGAAGAATGGCAAGGAATGCGTTCCTTTCCTTCGGACAAGCAAGGGAAAGGAATGCTGACATTGAAAATATTAGGTTGGAGGCCATCGCTAGTAGGTTTGGAGGCCATTGGAGGCCATCGCTATTAAGTTGAAGGCCATCGCTACTAGGTTGGAGGCCATCGCGATTAGGTTGGAGGCCATCGGCCATCGCTATTAGGGGGGAGCGGCCTGGAAAGCAAATACATTTCCTGCAGATTTTGCTTATCTTCAGCTTGGATCTGAAATGCTGTCGGCACCCCTGACCGACATGGTAACAAACAACTGGTAGCTCTCTCTCCGTTTGTTGTTCCTTTTCTTGCCTTTTTCTCTTCGCTTCTTTTCACAAAATAATGCTTCTTCCTTTTTGTCTTTCCTTCTTGCTTTCTTTAGACCTTTACACCATTTCTTTTCTCCCGCCAAACAAAACTCCCACTGGGCCTCTTTGGTGGAAGTGCAGCAGCTGCTGCAATGCAGTTCGCCACTGCCGGGTCGTCGTATGTGCTGAGATCATGGTGGCGACTGCGATGGCATTGGCCTCAGACTATTCTTCAAGAGGTCTTCTGTTTTCCTTTTCGCTCTTTTTTCGTTCTTATTGTCCTCTATTCTCTGTTTGAAATTTTTCTTTAAGCAACATGACTTTCATCTTTTTCCCGTGAACATGGACAGGGTCAACGAGCTTTTGCGACGCTCCACCCTGCCATTCCTGTCCTGATGCCCGTGCTGCAGCGCTTTCTCCAAGAGCTGCGCAGCTCGCAGCCAAATGGAGCCTGAAGAAACTCTTCAACTCGGCAAAGAAAAAAGCGGAAAGCTTTGGAACACTTGACGTCGATTGAAGTTGAACACTCGATTGGTTTCTGAACTCAATGAAGACCTCAGGGGCAAGCTTTCCATGTTTGTTGGACCCTGTCTGCTGTCGAGGCCTAAACGCTTGAAGAGGCCGCTGTGTTGAACGGAATCGGTTCTCGGAATGCCTATTTAAAACCCAAACTTCAGATTTCTGATTTTAGCATCTCCAAATCGCATTTTGCGGCAAACAATAAGAAGTTCGAGAGGACATAATCAAGTCAAGAATGTGATCAAAAGAATTTTTCTATGCACAACAACACGCCTTTCTCACAAGCGGAGATAGCTGCACCAAAGCTCACGATGGAGGTTGTTTGGGCCTGTCATGACCCATGAGAATCGAACGAGGTTGCCGTTTAAACATAAGGGATTCCCCGTCCAAATGCTGGAACTGAGTGTCGCTACTAGTAGCAAGGACGCTATTAGTAGCTCCTGGCATTACTAGTAACAAGGGCATTGCTACTAGTAACAAGATAATGGTGCCAAAGCTCCAGGAAGCGCTGATAACTTGGACAAGCTGGTTGAAATCTGGCTCAAGTTTCCCAAAAAATTCTAGGAACCAAATGAATAGCCCGAGGTGTCCTGCGTCCAGCTACTACTTAGTAAACTGTCCTGCGTAGCGTCCAGCCCTTACTTAATTGAATAGCCGCTTACTTAATTGAGCCAGAGCGGGCTAAAAAGAGACAATGGTCCTTTATTGGCCTGTGCCTGGACTAGCTTGTTTCCGGGATCTGTATATCGAACATGATTGCTTCAGACCTTTCTGGCTAAGCAACTTTATAGAGTTGAGGCTTTTCTGAAGCGAAAGCACTGGAAGGTTCTTCGAAGCTCCGAAGCTTTCAATCTTATGCGTCGCCAGTGCCTGGTATAGGAGTTCCAATGCAAGCAGCCAGGTGGCCGCTGCGATGGCGCCGTTGGCAAGTACCTTTCCAGCGTAGAATGTGTGATCGGGGTTTGCTTTTTGCTCTGATGCCTGCATTCTTGGCCTCTTTAACCTCTTTCCTACAACTCCATCACTTGATCGGATTTAAGATGTGCACCCCGAGAGCTCTGAGGGCCTGTTTCCTCTGGCCACCGGATCGCAGGGATCAGCTAAACTGTCCACCTTCTGACTTGATCTAACTTGCTTACTTGCTTCTTGCGAGAGGAATAAACAAGGAATGGAACAAGAAAGGAAAAACAAAAGAAACCATCTTTAAACAGGGAAAGAAACAACACATACGTAGCGCAAGACATACAAAGGAAGAAACAAAGACACATTTGCCCTTCTCTTTTTGCTACATTCTCTTCTCGCTCCTTCTTGCTCACATTGGCCCTTGCGACGTCGCTCCGCGGTCGCTCCGCGGTCGCTCCGCGGTCGCTCCGCGGTCGCTCCCTTGTTACCCACCCTGTGACGGCTGTCGGTGGAAATGAAGACGATCGATCTGCTGTCAGCTGCCAGCTGTGCACCTCTTGAGCTCTCGGTACTCAGCTTGAAACAGGCGCTCCCAGCAGACACAAGCGAAAAGCTTCGGAGTAAATCGGAGCTCGAAAGCCGAAAGCGCCCTTTCAACAATCAACACCTTGAGATAGATTCCTACTTTTTGAACAATAAGATGAAGTCAGACATGGGCAGTTTTCCGACTGATGTGCAAGCAACACACCGCTTTCAAGCTTCTCTGCAATGCCGATGGTAGCATCGTTCTTAGCATGCAGTAAAGGTCTCCGCCTAAAGCTGTGCCACTGAAGAGTCTTCAATGTCTTCAGCTGGTCAGGCGAAGCAGTTCAGTGTCATAAAGCCCGCAGAATGCCTTTCATCAAGTCCCAATCCTTTTTGGACTTGTTGCGCTTCCTTAAAGCTTTTCGGAGTTGGGCATTTCCTGAAGATCCGGCATTGTGCGTTTTGGAACCTGAAGAAACTGCTGCTTTCGTGAGCAGCCCCTTCAAGGCTTCGGAGCCCTGGAACAAGAACAAAGGTTGAGGCCAAGTCATACTGGTACGTACCAGTGGAGACGGTAAACCCCTCGTCCAGTCAGCAGTCAGTGGCTGGATTTGAAACTCTTCGGCCCATCGCCTTGAGACGCACTTCCCGTGGTCCCTTTCTCGGTGTGTGAGTGAGACCATGGGAAGCTTGGCAGAACTGCAATCAGATCACGAGACCAAATGACACCACCAATGAGTTGGACGATTCCGGCATCATCAAGTGTCTACTCCGCTCACACACCGAGCAACGAAGGAGGTCGCGGTAGCAGTCGCTCTCAGATGGACTTCCGCAGGGCGATGATGGTACTGGTGAGTGCCAAAGCCATTGATGCGGCCATGGCTGGCTGCTCCTGCAGAGTAGAGGAAAGCAGCCGCAGCAGTGAAGGAGGTCACTCAAATGTTTCTATCAGTACATGCTGCCTTCTATCGTCAGCGGAAAAACTTTCTTCCTTTCCTTTCTTCTTGGGCGAATCAAAATAGGAAAGGGGGTGCCTCCAGTGTTGCAAATCCTTCTTTCCCAGGTCTTTCCCCGCCAAACAGGTGCCTTTTTGACACTCGCTGTACAAAACCTTGATGGGTTGTGTCTCTACCGTAGTCTCTACCGTAGACTCTGCCGCTCTCTGCTCTGCTCTGCTGCTTTCTCCTCAATCCAGTGGATCACACTCTTGCTCGAGTTGGTCTTGATCAACTCCTGACACAACTCGGATTTCCAGGTCACATCCAGGTAGAACACGTTCCTTTTTTTTTGTCCGCTCCCCCTCCTCCTTACATAATATAGTAGGCGCCTACTAAATCAAATAAGGAATTGAGGTAGCTAGTAGTAACTAGGTAGCTACTACCTAGGATGCAGGATAGCTTGCGCTAATGATTTGGTCTTCACTGCTCCATACTGTGTTTTCAGATGCTTTCCAGGTTGTCAGGTTTTTCAGGTTTCATCGAGGTCGTCATAAACTTGGAGCATCTTTCCCGACCTTGTTGGGAGCTGTGATCAGCTGGTCCTGGTGCAAAGGAAGCATAAGGAAATTGTCAAAAGCGACTTACTATCGATTTTGCTAGGATGGAGTCCATCGCTATTAGGTCGGAGGGCATGGCTATTAAGTTGGAGGTCCTCGATACTGGGTTGGAGGCCATCGCTAGTAGGTTGAAGGCAATCGCTACTAGGTTGGAGGCCATCGCTAGTAGGGTGGAGGCCATTGGAGGCCATTCCTATTAGGTTGGAGGCCAACAACATCCTCGCAGTCCTTGCAGCTCTCAGTGGTGTTGCGGCTGAACTCGGGGTCCGGCTCGAACGACCTCAAGTCGGCGGGTTGGGGCGGTCTCGGCACAATCCTCTTGGATTTGCTCCGTTCGTAGGGTCCTCTTGCTCCTAGTATGTTTCTTGGACTTCACAATTTCACACGTCATATTGAGAGACTTGTTCATGCCAACTCACTGCCTAAACTTGCCGAAAGGCATTTGTGTTGGTACGGATTCTTGACGCAGCATGGGCATTGGCATTGCATGGTCCACCCGTTCCATGATGCAAAGCCCTGGGCCCTCGAAGCTGGTTGGACGCTGCAAGCGCTTGTCTGCAGGGCCGCATAAGTAGAGGGAACCCTGAGGGCCGAATTTGAAGATGTAAGGAAGAGCTGGTGGAGGGCCTCGGGAAAAGCAACAAAAAAGGCACAGGCTGAACACGTGGCACATCAGGTACATGATACATCAGTTCTTTTCAATATTCTTTTCCCCAAGAGCCATGCGATGGGTCTTGCAAAACTAAAGGCGTCCTTGCTCCTAGTAGCTTCTTGCTCCTAGTAGTAAGGCCAGGAGCCCCTAGTAGCGTCCTTGCTCCTAGTAGCGATGCCGATGGGCCCAAAAACATGGCACGGACACGACCGCATCCCCTTCTTGGACTGAGATAGACCTCGTGAATCTTTTTGTGTCCTTTTGATGGGATGGGTCGAGCACAACGTGCCAGCTCTGAAAGTTCCAAGGCTCCTCCAAAATTCTCCAAAAACACTGGAGGACTGTTTCTGGCGTTTTTGCTTACCTCATCAGGTCCTCGGGCACTCCTCCTCTGTCCAAGCTGCAGCTACTACCTTTGGGCAACACTTCAATGTCGAGTTGGCAGGGCTCCACGGAGCAGTTCACGCGGAAGCGAGCATCCATCGTTTGTCCCAGCACAGTAATGTTCGCCTTGACGCAGTCCTCACCAGACGGACACTGGACCCATCAGGCTCTGCTAGGCATAGTTGTGGTTGGGAGCCTTTCTCGCTGGACAAACAGATTTCCTGTTACCTTGGCATATGCTTTTGTATCACTCAAAAAGTACGAGCTTCAAACAACCGCCGAAAAAAACTACTAGTAGCTAAAAACTACTAGTAACAAGGGCATCTCCAGCTTCGTGTTACTGGTGGTAATGTCCTAGCTCCTAGGGGTCTGCTTGGTGCTTTCGAAGAAGCTCTTCAAGTCCTGTTGGGGACTCAAGCACCGCCCAGTTTGGAACAGATCCCTCCATTGGCGGCGGATATAGTTTGCTATTAGGCGGAGGCCATCGCTATTAGAAACAAGGGTTATTTTGGAGAAATGAGCTGGAAGAGCTGGCCAATGACATGCTTGGCTTCCAATAGTGATGGCCTCCACCTAATAGCCAACTACATGTACCGCCATATATACATATATGCGCCGACCCCAGCCGATGGCGGGGGAGCGCGCCAGAGAACACTGCTCCATCCTGCCGCCAGAAAAGCAACGTTTGGATGTCAGCGAGCCGATCACCGAGCCGCTCTGAGGACAATTTTTGGGTCAGTTTCCGTTTGGAGTTAGACGGTGGAAAGGCGTGGCGGAGGAGATTGCCGGGATCAAAAGCCACACTTAGACTTGCACCTAGCAAGCTGGTAAAGACATGGTGTGATGGTCTGCGACAAGCATGTTGTAGCAACGTCGTCTCTACAGAGCCACTTCCTGTGGCATCCACTACTCATGCAAGCGTGTCATTTACAGGTGGTGAGCTGGTGCAATATGCCAGTGTCCGCTGTGGCGATGCATTGAAACACACCTGCGCGTAGCATTGCCGACGAACCGAAAAGTCGTCCCACAGGTCTGCGTGTAAGGGATGCGACACACTTAGGCAGAAGAACGTCGCAACTCCCCGTTGGCGGAGAGTGCCCTCAAAGGTCGGGACAGGCCCGTTAAGTGCCTGTCGTCGCCTCGTGCGTTTACCATCTGCGTGGAAGACCGCGTGCAACCTATGCCTGCGTGGTCGGCCTCGTGCATCTTGCGCCTGCTCGGAAGGCGTCGCATGGAGCTCCACAAAGTGCTACACCTGCCACGAAATCTGCACATGGAGCTCCACAAAGTGCTGTGCCTGCTACGAAATCTGCACATGGAGGTTCACAAAGTGTTGCGGCGTTGCGCCTGCCACGAAATCTGCACATGGAGGTTTACAAAGTGCTGCGCCTGCCACGAAATCTGCACATGGAGCTCCACAAAGTGCTGCGCCTGCCACGAAATCTGCACATGGAGGTTCACAAAGTGTTGCGCCTGCCACGAAATCTGCACATGGAGGTTCACAAAGTGTTGCGCCTGCCACGAAATCTGCACATGGAGCTCGACAAAGTGCTGCACCCGCCACGAAATCTGCACATGGAGCTCCACAAAGTGCTGCGCCTGCTGCGAAATCTGCACATGGAGGTTCACAAAGTGCTGCACCTGCCACAAAATCTGCACATGGAGCTCCACAAAGTGCTGCACCTGCCACGAAATCTGCACATGGAGGTTCACAAAGTGTTGCGCCTGCCACGAAATCTGCACATGGAGGTTCACAAAGTGCTGCACCTGCCACGAAATCTGCAGATGGAGCTCCACAAAGTGCTGCACCTGCCACGAAATCTGCACATGGAGCTCCACAAAGTGCTGCGCCTGCTGCGAAATCTGCACATGGAGGTTCACAAAGTGCTGCACCTGCCTTCGCCTCTGGACACGTTGACCGAAACAAACGCCGTGTCCCGCATTGCTCTTCCTCCTCCGCTCCCTCCTCCGCCCCCTGCTCCTGCCCCTCCACCACCTCCTCCTCTTCCCTCCTGCTCCACTTGAGCCCCGTGCCCTGGCCCCGCCTCTGCGCCGACCTCTGCTTACGCACTCCTTCCCGAAATCGGCGGCACGGGGCGTAGCCCTTAAAAGAATACACACACATATATATATATATATATACAATAATATATATATATATATGGAAAAACAACACGAAACCGCTTTGTAAAGCACAGACCGAGCTGTCCATGCTTTTAGCTTGAGCATCATTGTGGAACTGGATACGCTGGTCGTAGCCCCCCCAATTCCTTGCTGGTTTTGCCTGGCGATGTTCAACTTGACATTCCAGAACTCTCTCAGATCACTTGACCTTACTTGGCCAACAAGGTATCTTGTGAATGTTCTCAAAAGGGTCATGACGACCGTCACAAGCTCATGAGTCTGTAAAGCTGATTAAGTGGAGATTCGTCAAAGCACAACAGCACTCACTCAAACTCCTCCCTCTTTGACCTCACGGTCCTTGCGCGATGCGGTGCACGCCTTCCCAAATCCCTGCGATGCGCGCGTCGAAGCCACAAGACAAGGGTGCAGCGTTGTCAGCGAAGGCACCCAAGTGTGACATCGTGTCCTTGGTCCAATCAAGAAGGGAAGACACCTACTTGCGATGGCCTCCAACCTAATTGCGATGGCCTCCGACCTAATAGCGAGTGCTTCTAATCTACGTGGAAAGGGAAGAACAGGGGTTGTGAAAGGAACAAAAACAAAGACGAATGTTTGAAAGAGCAATGATGAGAAGCTCATAAAGCATTTTTGCTACTAGTTGGAACAAAAACAATGTTTGTCTTGACATGCAAGATCGCATCAAGACAAGAATTCGATTTCTTTTCAACAAACGTATTCCGTCTTCCTTTGCAGCCAGCTGATCGAAGCCACAAAGGCGCACTGAAGAGTGACACACACACACACAAGAAAGCAAAGAAAGAAAGGTGTAACGAATAAAGCGTTCGTTCGTTCTTTATAGACAATTAATTAAGAACGAACAAAGATAAGACACGCAAGAAGGGACCGGAGGGGATGACGATTGAAGAGGGACCTGGGCTTTTCTTCGACTGATGGTGCCTGGGTTCCAAAATCTTAACATCCTGAGATCGTGGAGGCAGACTAGTAGCTTCTTGTTACTACTAGTAAGGCACTTGTTACTAGAAGCGATGCACTTGTTCCTAGTAGCGAACCTTGTTCCTAACACATTCGTAGAGTTGAGGAGATGACAGCACTGGACTTTCCCCATACCCTTCCTGCCGGCTGCCCGACTAAAACAAAAGACATAAGACACCAATTGCCTCCCTTGGGTAGCAACGTGTGGCAAGCTTCATCGGTGACCATGGAAGGTCCCCAGTACTGGCTACCCTCCTCACTCTCCTGTACTGAGCTGGCATGCAAGATGGCCTCAATGCAAACGGCTCAACAAAAGGTGGTTGAAATTGAAGTTCCAAGATTGGTTTGAAGCGTTTCAAGAGTCGCGAATTGCGGAAGAGACCCTTAAATTTAGCAAAAACTGAACCCGAACCCTTTACCTGCAAGGTCACACTGGAACGGTATCTTCCAGCTGGGCAAAGAGAAGGCGAAGTCGTCAACTTCAAACCCTTCGGCCTCCAACCCAATAAGATACATATCTGAAAGAAAGGTTTCTGGCTGCATCTGTGGATTGGAAACAAACTAGTGGTCTTCGAGGTCCTTGTGCCCATCAATTCTCTGAAACCAGAACCTAATCTTACACGTGCATATATATGTATATATATATATATATGAATTCAATTCGCTACTGGGACAGCGCTATGTAGTGGCAGGGCATGTCATCCTGTGTTGAAGGTTGAAAGGATTGGACTGAGAACAGTTGCATTCTGGAGGTCTTCCACTGCTCCCCCGGCCCACACCTATTAGGACTATCACCTCAACAAGTTCAATGTGTCAAGACAACTCATCTGAATCCTGTTTACGATCTTCAGATTCCAAAGACCATCACTTGACACCAATGACCAATGACCAATAAGCAAAACTACCATCACCATTGAACTAGCACATGAGTACTCAGAACAGCTGCCAAAACACCTGCTCACTCACTACAGATTTGGACCTTTGCTTTGCATCTCTCCCCATCTCCTCATATCTCCTCATCACAAGAAGCTACTAGGCTCCTGGCCGTGCTACTAGGAGCAAGAAGCTACTAGGAGCAAAGGGCATCGCTATGAGAGACAAGGACGCTACGAACGGAGCATCATCTTCAATTCGCCTCATCGCTTCCTTCGCTTCCTTCGCTTTGCAGAGCCAAGGGGCACTGGCGCCGAGCTTGGTGAGGTCCCCCAAGTTGGCCACGATGACCGAGCCGCTGTCACTGGAGATCTGGGTGGAGCCACCAGCGGATGTCCTCGCCTCCACCTCGAAGCGAGGAACCGAGAGGAGTGGGACGAGGACCAGTGAAGGTGGTATCGAGTGGAACTGGGGGGAACATGGACAAATCGGCGGGATGGAATTGAGTTCTCTTGATCGATACTTTTCTGAACTCTTTAGAGGTCCTGACCGTCCTAGTCGTACGTCTACGTCCTACGTCATCAGCTCTGCGTTGGTTCCCCGTCGGTTCTCCGTCCGCCTTGAAATCCTCAAAGCCGGTCTGTGCCACGTCCATCTCTTTCGACTCATCCTGCCGGTTCTTCGGCTCTTCGCGACCCATAAATTAACGAAGGAGGGAACAAAGAAGAACGGTCTAAAGGAAATGAAAAATAATGGACATTTGACAAGTAAACGAAGAAGTACTGGACAACCTTGTGATGCTCAGGAGACCGAAGTTGGATTGATGGATCGATCCGAACACAATAAAAACCACTTGACAGGGGTTGTGGATCGCCCCAAGACTTGCGACTTCAGACCCGCTCATTACAAGCACAGGCAAGCTGCAAGCTACTGCTACTGATACGGTTCACAATATCGATAGACCCTTTGTTTTCATTGAGGTGGCCATCGCTGGGTGGGACGTTTGTGTGTATCGTGCAGGCAGCCATTGTGCCAGTCTGCGAAGGGGCCAAAGGCTTGGATGAACACTGGACAGTCTGACTGATGTTTCTATTTTTTTGGCGAGTGGAAGAGTTCTCCGGGATCAAGCACCAACCATGTGAAGAAACGATCCTGATGTTTTGGATGGTGGCTTACTTCTCCTGCACCTTCGATGACATATGCACTGGTCGTAGGAAAAGGTTGAGGGAATTTTGACTTCAAAAGGCTCGCTGGAAGGACTTCTAGAAATGGTATCTGGAATCCGTACTGGCTGGGTTGGCAGTTGGTACATATGTACACTCAGCTCGGCTGGGCATAAGCCATATCTGGATTTTGGTGAAACACCTGCCATGAACGAAACGGGGCCGCGGCTTTTGTTGGTGAATGTTTGGAGACTCTTTCTGCGCCTTGTCTGTACTCACTACGCGGGGGCTGGCAAACGGCCATTGGAGTGGCTCATGTGAGTGGACATTCATTCGGCCACGGGGGATTGGTTTGCCAGCGAAATTGAACTGATGTGTAGGGAAAACGGATTCATGCGTGACAAAAAAATCAGTGGTGGGCCTTCCTGCCAACCACCATGGCATGCCCGAAACATCAAAACATCGAAACAATTGGCTAAGGGTTACTGCTTTCTAGACCTTTCTGCTTCGTCTTTTGTTTCTTATACATTATATATATATATTTATGATTATATACACGTTCCTTTTCCTTAGACAACTCCCGACTGACCCTCCGTCTCCTCCGGGGCCGTGGCGAATTGGATGGCCGCCACCAAGTGGCGCTCCTTGCATCGCTACTAGGAACCCGGGCATCGCTACTACGAGCAAGGACGCTACTAGGGGCTCCTGGCCTCGCTACTAGTAGCATTCTCACTACTAGTAACAAGAAGCGGTCTTTCAAGCTAGTAACAAAGCGCTTCGCTACCCGCTCCTTGCCGTGGCTCACCGCGGAGCGCGGCACCACGGAGAGGTGCAACGTGGCCGAGAGCCGCGACTGGGACGTCGAGAGCATCTTGCCTTGGGACGTCGTTTTGGGTCGAAACACGAAACATTTTTTTTGTTACTACTAGTAAGGCACTTGTTACTACTAGCGAGGCACTTGTTACTACTAGTAACATAATAGGGGGGGAGAGTAGGCCGAGAAGGGCTAGGTAGCTAGTAGAAGCAAACGGTAGCTAGTAGCTTAAGTAGCTGTTACCGACAGGACGCAGGGTAGCTCACGCTTCCTTGAAGAAGCGCTTGCACTATTCATTTGGTTCCTGGAGCCATGTGCAAAGATGTTATATCAGCATTTCCACTTTGCAGCCCTGGCTGGGAGTGAGCTTGGACCAAGACATCACTACCACACACACACATGGGTAGTACAAAATCAGTGGGTCTTTATGGTTGCTTTATATTCCATGAGGAAACACAACCTTTTTTTAAGGTTGGAGGCCATCGCTATTGGGTTGGAGACCATCGCTGTTAGGTTGGAGGCTATCGCTTAGGTCATTGTGAAACACAACTTTCTTTTTTCCCTTCCTTTCTTGTCCTTGCGCTTTCTCCCAAGCCATGGCGCTGTGCAGAACTTGGGCGATGGGAGGCATAGCGCCACCAGCACAGGTCCAAATACCTGGCGGGGGAACCCATCGGTGAACTTCGTCCAGGCCTTGACCTCTCGCTTTCTGAACTCAACGTCAGCAAATATCCGGAACACCCCATCGGTACGTTGCATTGTCACGCCACCTTGAATCGGGATTCCACGAGCATTCCAGGGGCGGATTCCGATACTACCGAGCCACACATGCAAAACCAAAATCACCAAAGAACTCCCCTGCAAAATACTTTGAATCAACAAGCATATATTTAAAAAATAGCCATTGCTAGTATGTTGGAGGCCATCGTTAGTAGGTTGGAGGCCATTGCTATTAGGTTACATACGAAGCACCAAAGCACTTTGCCCATCTAGTGCCGCACCTGGCCTTGGGTCGATAAGCTCACCTCGCTTCCCTGTGGGCAGTCTGCTTGTCGGACGACATTGCGGACGTAGGCTGAGAAGTCCGATTTGTCTTCCTCGGCAAAGGCGGATGGTCCGGTGAGGGGAGATTCAGACCGATACATCTTTTCGAATGAAGCGCTTGAGGTAAGAAGAAAGAAAGAAAGGAAACGCAAGAAAAGACACGAAAAGGACAAAAGGAAAAGGACCATCCAAACCCATGATAAGGTGAGTCTGGTTTTTGCGAAGAAAGACACGAATCGTGTCTCCAATCGCTTTTTATTTTCAAATAATCCTTCTCGTTTCAACGCACGTGAGAAGGGCATGACATCGATGAAGTCCAAGGACCTAAGGCCTTCAGCATGCCACCGGGGGGGGACCAACAACGAGGGGAACCAACAATGGCCAATGGCCGTCTTCCGACCAGGAGCTACTAATTAGTAGCGTCCTCTTGATCGTGGGTTACAAGGCGCGAAAGCCAATCAACGCGTGACAGTATCAAGGACGCTTGTAGGGGTCAAAAAGGTGTCCTCTACTATAGTCAGAGGTAAAGACCGGGTAAAGGTATGTTTCGTAGCGCTCTTATGAACAGAAGTGCTCTTGCTACGGGCAACCTTAGGAACCTCAAAGACCGAGCCGCAATCAGCCACACTCATTAAGAAATCACCACATGACTCACGGACCTACTGAGAACATGTACTAAGTACTAGTAACAAGAAGCTACTAGTAGCAAAGCGCATTGCTACTAGTAGCTCCTCTCTCCTAATACTCGCGGACCTCATGGTGTGAGTTGGTGCCGAGGATCTTCGCCTGCCAGCAAATCCTTCAAGTTGGCACCCGCCACACGTGTTCCAAGCATCCTCAGTAGTGGGCTGGTGGGTATTAAGGGGAATCGTCGCTTTGACACCCTACAGGCAAACACCGATTTAGTCAAATCTGAACAAGGTTATTGGCCGAAGCCTGACCAAACACAGCCAGGGAGCACTGCCAGACTCTATGAGGTCCCACTTTATTCTCAGAACACTAAAAAGGCTTTGGTCTGGAATAGCCGAAATTTATGATGACAAGAATGCCTCGTCATGATGTTTCTCCAAAGAGCTACCTTCCCATGGTCTCCAAGCATCTTCTCCAATTTCTGCATGTCTCCAGACATGGCAGGTGGCAGTTTGCACCGGCCGGCAGCGTCCAAAACACATGGGAGGATGATATCAAAGCTGCCACGGAGGATGGAGATCATACCTATGAGCCAGGCGAGCCAAGCGAGCAAGGCTTGAACACCCTCTGGATGCTAGTTCTTGGCAAACCATTTTCTTTTTGATGGTTATGGCGGTTTTGACAAGTAGCAAGCCCGAAACTTCTCCACCACATTATGGTCTGGCAGTCTTTGGAAAGAAGGACAATACTGGAGGCCACCACTAGTAGGTTGGACGCCATTGCTATTAGAAATAATGTTCTTTTTTGTATCCGTTTGTTATTGTTTAAACTAAAGTTCCCACCAACGATGTCCTTTGATCAAACCAGCTGTTCAGCTGGTGGACAAAGTTGAACGATTGTACACAGGTCAGTCCCGGTGCCCGACGTCTTGGAACTAGGAAACGAGTAGTAACAAGTGCCACGCTAGTAGTAACAGGTGCCTTACTAGTAGTAACAAAAAAGCTATTAGAATTAAAATGCCAATTAAATTTAGATGATTAGCTTCTTGTTACTACTAGTAAGGCACTTGTTACCCCGACGTCTTGGAACTGACCTTAAGCTACTGACGTATGGACGCAGACTCAAGATTTTTCTCCTAGTAGCGTCCGATCGCTCCTAGTAGCGATGCCCTTCCAAGTGCTGCACTCCTCATATATCCTCACGCCTCAAGCAAACCTGTGACGGTTAGTTTAGATGAGTTTATACCCTCCGGGGGAGTTATATGACGGCTGAAGGCATTGGCTTGCCAATAAACTGCCGTCGAGTCATGCTGAAAGCCAAGCCATTCCAGGCGGGGAGGTTTGTTCAAGGCACTCTTGCTTGTAAGGGGAAGGCCAAACCCTAAAGCTAACAGCCAGAATGTAAGGCTCACGGTTTCTACACGCAAAAGTCACCAAGTTCACTATCATCATGGCTAGTAGGTTGGCCATCGCTATTAGGTGCATTTGTTTAAAGACATGTTAAGAACATCTCCACCAACCAATCCCCACCAAGCTACCCACGTTGGAGACGCTCACCTTCCGCAGCACATCAGTGAGGGTCTTGTGATACCTGGGGATATGCATCGACAGAAGGGCAACAAAAAGCGGTTGCTCAAAGTTCCAAGCAAAAATACTGTGTGTGTGTTATCCATGCACAAAAACACACAATACATTTCAGGACATCTAAAATACGCCCTTATCACAAGAAGCTACTAGGGGCTCCCGGCATCGCTACCAGGAGCAAGGACGCTACGAACGGGTCTCCTAGCCGTACTACTAGGCGCAAGAAGCTGCTCGGAGCAAAGGGCATCGCTATGAATTTCAGCTCTCCCACCCCTTGTCTCAGAGTGACTCATCGGCGCGGATAAAAACGAAGGCTGCGCAGTACGCGATCTTCGCACCGAAGGTCAGCACGAAAAAGCCCTTTCGCTCTGCATGAGCGTCCACCAAGCCGGTCACAGATGACATGTAGACCACGCCTCCGAACGCGATCTAAATGGACCTAAATTTCAACAAGATTACCTTGGTCAAGTCATTCAAATCTTGTTCCTTTTTAGATGCCAAAGAAAAAAGAAATGGAAAACGAGATTTAAAGGTTACGAACACAAAAAAAACAAGAAAAGAAGAACAACGCGTGCTTTGAGTGTTCATGTTCTTCTTCCCCACCGTAAAGGACGAAAGCCAAGATGAGGCCGTTGGAGAGCCAGGGGCGAATGCCACGGCTGGGAAGGTCCTGCGGCGCAGAGCCCTCGAAGTCTTTGACCCATTGCAACATGTCCACCGAGGCCCAGCCGTACATGGCCATGGAGATGAGGATCAACCTCAAAGAAGAAGCTTCTAGGAACAAGGACGCTACTAGGGGCTCCTGGCCTTACTACTAGGAGCAAGTAGCTACCAGTAACAAGAAGCTAATAGAAACAAGCTATTACAAACAAGCACGGGTGGAGAAAGAGATGAACAGGACAGTTGAGCGGTTGGGGTAGATGCATTTTTCTAGAATAGAACAGGACGACAAAAGACAAATGAAACAAGTAAAGGGCAACGATGGTTAACCCCTTTTGTAGCTCTATCAGTGTCCTAGTGGTTGATGTTGTAAAGGGTTCTGGGAGATTTGATGTCTGCGTTCATCATGGCATCGGAAGATTGAATAGATTGCAAAGGCAAACTCCTTTTTAAAGAAGTGAATCTTGCAACCAAATTAATAGTGCGAGCGCTATCCTGCGTCCTAGCTAGCAGCAGGTTACCTAATTAGTAGATAGTAGTGGCTAGCCCTTGCTCAATGAAGTAGGAGCCTTAATTAAGTGAGAGCGGGCTGAAATAGAACACTTAGGTGTAAAGCCATTCTACCAGCCCAGGCACATCCACTTGACGAGCCCGGAGTCAGAGACCTGTGCAGCCCAGCAAAAGATCACGTAGACGTTCGTCACGATCAACGGCCGTGAGACCTCCAGTAAGGGACGGCCCAGGCTGCAGTAGCCAGACAAGATCATCAGGATTGGCACGTTGATGCCCCACTCCAGGTACCTTGTAGGAATCGTTGGCAGTTTGCTTGGCTGAGCTCAAACACTTGTTCCAGAGCTGGTTGTGAATCTTCCATAAGCAACTCCTGGTCCTTTGCTTCTAAAGAGGACTTTGAACACTTGTGACAGCACCCCGACCGTGTGCCCTACCTCATCAATTACCACCCTAAAAGATCGCCACTCAAAGCCTGATGAAACGGCCATGGCTAGTAGGCTGGAGGCCGCTATTCGCTTGGAGGCCATTGCTATTAGGTTAGGCTAGCGTTCCTCTTGCTCCTAGTAGCGTGGTGGCCCGTCCTCCGGTGGCCAGGTGGCTGCATGGTGTAGACGGGACGGCCGGGCGCCGTGAGCCCATCGGCGCTGGGCCCCACGTGGGCGATGGTCCACTCCGGGCGGCTGAAGAAGCGCTCAGCCGTGGCCAGGACGCCGAACATCAAGGCCAACAGGAAACTGGGCCTAGGAGAGAGGAGGAAGAGAGGAGAGAGAGGAGAGGAGGACAGAGGAGAGAAGTATAAAGAAAAGATACTATGTTATGGTTGTTTTTGGAATCTATTTGTTCTCTTCTTTTCTTGAAGAGAAGAGGACAAGAGGAGGCACGACGCAGTTGTACCAAGAGTTTCTTCGTTTGAGCCGGTAGGAAGTAAGTAACACTGCTCAATGGTTAAGGTGCGGCAATCCGGGGAATTAGTTCGGGTCAATTCCAAATTTCTCAGAGTCACAAGAAGCTACTAGGAACAAGTGCATCGCTACTAGTAACAAGTGCCTTACTAGTAGTAACAAGAAGCTACTAGGGTACATGGTGATGGGACCCAAGAACATCTGCTGGTATATTCGCTTATGTTCCTCACAGCTTCTCTTGACCTTTTCTTTACCTTTTCTTTTCCTAGTCACAAGGACGCTATTGGTAGCTCCTGGCATTACTACTTGTAACAAGAAGCTCCTAGGAACAAAGGGCATCGCTACGAACGGAGCGATCAGACGCTAGGAGGCCGTTGCTATTAGCTTCCGTCCTAAGGAATAGGTCAACACACCGGCACCGCTGGCACTGCTGGCTGTCCAGGTGCAAGCAGCGGCTCTTCAGGTGTGGGATCAGTGCTTGTGTTTGCTTGGAGCCCATGTAAGTGGCCTCACTCGACAGCCATGTAAGTGGCAGCCCGGAGGAATCAGCCGTTTCCCTTTTTGATCCGTTTGCTACTTAAAAAAACATAAACAACTAGCAAAGCCTCTCGAACCTCCACCAAGACCAACGGTGGGGAATCAATTTGTTTGGTTGCTTTGACGCTGCAGAACATGTCACCACAATCTAGAGGGTTGTCAAACTGAAGAAAATCCATCAGCAAAGGCCACAGCAATGGAAGGTTCAAGTGCATCGCTAGTAGTAACAAGTGCATCGCTAGTAGTAACAGGTGCCTTACTAGTAGTAACAATGTTCGCTATTAGAAACAAGTGCTTTGGTGTCTTGCTCTGCATTGATAATACAGTTTGATGATTGTTTTCGGGCCCCGTGCAAGGACCCAACAGAACCTCTTCCTTGACATCTTCCGAAGGCAAAATGCACTTGTTCCTAGTAGCGAACCTTGTTACTACTAGCGTGGCACTTGTTCCTACTAGCGATGCACTTGTTTCTAATAGCGAACATTGTTACTACTTCAAACTGGGTAACCAAAAAGCCATCCTCACATGTATCATGTTCATGATACATGTTCAATTGCTGACGCATCGGATCACTTCATGACACCCAAACCCAACCTCAGGTGAAGTCAACTCTAATAGCAATGGCCTCCAATCTACTTGCGATGGCCTCCAACCTAATAACAACAAAACCAAGCCTCCTAAGCATCCTAGGCCTTTCTAATTCCCACGAACAGGCTGCCCATCGCCCGAGTTGGATCAAGTGACGATGAGACCACAAACCTCGTGTCCAGCCATGGCCACCAAGGCTGCTGTGGAGACGATGTGATAATATCCTCACCACGTTGTAGAGAGGATGGTTCCAACCAGGTTTGAATGATTGAGCTGCAAAGTTTGACCAACACTAACAACTATATGTAAAACATACGGGCATACTGTTTCCTACTGCAAACAAAAAGCAAACGTGCTATCAATCGATGAGAACCTAAAGTCAGGATTGGGTTCATTTTTCTTTCCGGGCACAATGTACAGGACCAATCTTTGGAGCGGATTCCCCTTACAAAAGCCGGTGTTTCACAGCATGCCCCTCAATTGAAACGCCCCTGAAGATCTGGAACATCTCCTCGCATGTCCGGCGTGTCCGGCGTGTCCTGGGTAGGTCTTCAAATGCTTGGTGCATGTGGAAGAGTCTTGACACGCCTGTGGGCTGAATACCGCCCAACAAATCGCCCACGTGGCCAAGGTGGCACCAATCCACACAGGGAGTTGTCCAATCCTGGCACAACTGAAGCGGTCACACAGGGCCGCACAAGTCCACAGGAAAAAAACAGAGTTCGTCCGGTAAGGTTCCTCATTGCTGCTAACAGTGACGCAAATAAGTCAAACAGTGACCGCCATCTCATGAAAAAGGCATGTTGAACATCAGAGTTGGATGTAAAGCAACAAACTACAATGAGTGTCAGGATTTTTGATCCCAGCGTCACTTTAAATCACGACGTCACTAAGGTGCAGGATTGTCTGCAAAGGAAGCAGTCATCTTTGCACAATGTGTCTTTGAGTTCGCATGAAGCAAAAAACTCTTGACTTGCAAATCCAAGGATCAAGCTGGCCATGATGCAGGTATAAAAGCCGGTCTTGAAACAAATGGCTGGAACTGCCAAAAAGGCACTGCAATTGGCAAAAAGAAGAACAGGTCTAAAGAAAAATGGATGGGAACAAATGGACGGACCTGGTAAATGACAACCCGTCTGCCCACAATCTCTAACTTCTTACAGGCCAAGAATGCCAAAGTGCCTACCAGTGTCTCTCAATAAACTCTGTGGTGTCACGTCAGAAGCAAGCATGAGAAAAAGAAACAAGCCGGAGTTCTGGCCAGTTGGTGACACGCTGACCCTCTCCGACCGCAAACTTGATTGATGGTTGCAAACACGTGTCGAGCTACGGGCTTTAGGACTTCGTGTTGCTCCCCCGTCGGTGATTAGAAGCATGTGGCGTGACATGCTGTCGAATTCCCTTGTTACTAGTAGTGTCTTAGTAGTAGCGATGGCCTCCAACCTAATAGCAATTGGCCACCAACCTAGTACCTTCTTGCTACTCGCAATGATTGCAGGATGTGTTGAAACATGGTGTGGTGGTTGCGTTGAGCGGACTGACCCCACGGGCTGATGAGCACCGTTGGACAGAATGATGGTGAAAACAGCCCAACTGGGTATCGATTGCGTTTTGAGCAAGACAAGCTTTTGAAGAAACATGGTTGCCAGGTGGCCTGGTTTCAACGAAAACTTGTCTACATGGGCACGGTTTAAACTCAAAATTGATTAAAGGCAACATCCCCCGATGGGGCTTCTGCTGCCCAGAAAGGGCTTCAGCACATTTGGGCTGCTAGACAGCCACGCTGGTTATATCACATCATGCTTTTGTTGGTCTGGACTGATTTGTTACTTCTGAGAAGGCCTTGCTTTAAAGAACATGTCCGGCTGCAAGATTCAGAATCTGAATTGAGCTTATCAAAACAAAGTCAGGTTGGAGGCCATCGCTAGTAGGAACAAGAAACTACTAGTAACAAAGGGCTTTGCTACTGGGAACAAGGACGCTACTAGGGGCTCCTGGCCTTACTACTAGTAGCAAGAATGCTACTAGTAGCAAAGGCCATCGCTAGTCTGGAATATCGCTGCTTAGTCTCCCCCTTTGCCCATCCAATGGGCACAAGATCCGCAAACAAGCCCTCATGCGCCGAGCCCTCTTGGATGGACAGCGCAAATCTCCACTGAGAGCCTTGGAAACTTGAACAATGCCCTTTGTTCCTACTAGCTTCTTGCTCCTAGTAGTAAGGCCAGGAGCCCCTAGTAGCATCCTTGCTCCTAGCAGCCATGCCAGGAGCCCCTAGAAGGGTCCTTGCTCCTAGTCCTGAACAATGCGTTCTTTCGCTGTGAAAAATGAACACAAAGAAAGGTCCGAAGACAACAAATAGAAAATTAACTGCCTAACCTAAAGCTGATAAACAAGGCGGGCGTTCTTGTTTGTAGTTTTAAGAGATTGTCAAATGTTCTTTGATGATTAGGAGCAGGGGGCATTCGGTTGTAGCTACTGTTGCTCCAGCTTGGGATATCCATGTAGGGCATGGTGAGCCACTGGGAACGCGTGAGAGAGCGTCAGAGGGAGGACAACGTGTCTGGCACCGAGCGCTTTGGAAGAAGGGCGTTCGCACCCTGAGATTGCCGTCCTAGTAGCTTCTTGTTACTAGTAGCGTGGCACTTGTTACTACTAGTAAGGCACCTGTTACTAGAAGCGATGCACTTGTTCCTAGTAGCTTCTTGTTACTAGTAGTAGGGCCAGGAGCGCCTAGTAGCGTCCTTGCTCCTAGTTGTTGGTACCAAGGCCGAACGTGATTGAGGAGGTGCAGGTTTGCAGGTTGAGAAGTTCAGACCCACAAATAAACCGTGCATGACTGCTGCCGTGGAAGCTCCCCCTTGGCGTTTGAGAAATTGCTCGAGCTCGGGTCCCAACCGCTTCAGATTCGGTGGCAATCCTGGGGGTAAATCTCACTTGGATGGAGCTTTTCCGGAAGGTTGAGTTCACCAAACAGCAAAGAGTTTGTAAAGAGGTTGACATTGCACCGTTCACTCCGTTCACTCCCAGTGGCCCCGCTCACAGGCGCTGGCGGCGCTGGAGCAGAAGACCAGGTCGCGCTGGAGGCCGTGCCGTCCAAAGTGGTCGATGGCATAGGACCAGCGACCACCTCAGCTTAGAGCAAATCAAAATAAGCTACTAGGAACAAGTGCATCGCTACTAGTAACAAGTGCCTTACTAG